TTGATTATGATTGCGGATTCCTTGAAGAGTTTGGATCTAAGAGAATCCCAAGTAAGTAAAACTCTTGGAAGAAACATATTCTCAGATCCGCTGGCTTTATCGAGAGCCACAGGACAAAAGATGGACAGCGTTCAATGGTTATGACTCCCTCCGATTAGAAGCTAAATACCGCAAGTGGAGATCCTTAAACCCCGAAGTTCCTCTTACGAGCTTTTGCTCTCCTCATCTGGATCATTTGAAAACGTTTGATAGTAAAACAAAAGAGATGTTGGAAGGAATTAGATGCGATCCATGCTCTCCAGACGACATGAAAGTATCAGTTCTCGGGGGGCTGTATGAGGTCGATGTACGCAGTGGTGTTTGTGCTCCGATTTATTGGACAGGTTAGTTAATCGAGTTTTAACCTATGCCCTTCTCATATTTCTCAGAGCTCTGCAATGAAGTTGGCTTACGCTTATAATATTCGGATGGGATCCATAATAATGTAACCCAGATGATACGTTCGCTAATCGCCGTTTATTATCCGGGCGGGATAACACAGGACAGGATAGTCCGCATGACTTGAAGCCCGAACTAGTAAAGTAGTCCATATTCTTGCATCAATACTCTACAAGTGTTGGCTAGCGCTTCGACAATTAGTTGGCTTTTCAGGTCAGTTCAAGTCACCGGACCTGCGACTCGAGCCAATATGTATCCGAATTCTTCCACTACGAGCTCCTCATTCTCGTCATGCTTCGACTGCCAAGCGTTCTTTTAATTCAGCTGATCTGCTGTAGCTGGATGCCAGTTCGATTCTTCCCATTCACTGGTATTCAACGCTGTAAAGAAGAGGTGTCAATGTATAATTTAAAAAATCGGCCGTTTGGATTCGGTCCGTTAACGGACCGTGTAAAGTGTTACACCTACATAATTTACATTTATGAGTAAACATAAGGAGAATCGATGAAGTGGAAAAGGTACCCAGAAGGGGTTAACGAGAGTGGATAATTCGAGGGATTTCAAAATTTCTCCGAGATTTTTACCGTAAAATCAGTCTCCCAAAAACTTTCGTAAACTCGCCCACTCACCTCAATGGTGGTTAACCACCGTCCTGCGCTCACACTGCGGATCAGCTTGAGCTCAGACGTGTGTAAACAAGCAAAAACAGACAACTATGCATGTGCTTCACTAGTTTCTTATGGTAAACAACCATGGCCGTCTTGTCAGTCGAAGTTTGGAGTACAAGGTCGAACTTCTCTGCTCAACGCCCTAAAGGCGTCATATTTGGCACCACATAAAGAGATATCGCCTCCATTGTGGCTTTGGTGGCTAGTGGGTCTGTAACTGCACGACAGCAACTCAAATTAGCTGGGATTCAGCACAGAACGTCCTTGTTGCAGTCCCCAGGACCCATGATAAACTAAATGTGGAGTGGCGGTGGTGGTGGTGGTGGTCGGGTAATGGCCTTCTGCTTCCTGTTGATCAGCCTCAACCACAATCCGTTTTGGGTCAAAACAGGTGCGTGCATCCTTTATGCCATTTGAACCTTTCTTTGGTCTACAGGAGTTCGACACACCGGTGATAGTCTAGAGACGTGGTTGCCTCCATGACCGTAGTTGGGTTTGTTGTCTCCAACTCACATCCACTACAGATCAGTTGCAATTTTCGTCTCGTAGTGTCGGGCAAATTTAGTCGCACCATTGATGTTTGGTTTGGTGGACAGAACCACTCTCCCGTTGCATTTGAAATCGGGTTCAGCATGAGGCATGGACGTATCAGCTACTATGCTGCTTTTGGATCTCGCAACCGGACTGACTACAGTTTCACATAGGGCCTTCCAATTCCCACTCAACTCCCGCTTTTGTAGAGCGTGAACCACTTATGGGCGGTGAAACTACGGCGTGGTACAGTAATCATCAAGCTAGGTGTTTGTGCGTATCGGCTTTCAGACACCCTCATCCATGCTTACAACACCATAGTCGGTCAACAGTCTGTATCCACGGTGTTGTGATGTGGGTGATCGGTGTGGGTGTGGTGATTTGGGTAATCGTGTGCGAATTTGGCGAATAGAGAATAGGATCATTGGGTATGCAAAGGTACGTGAAAGAATAAGTTTCAAGAATGAGGTAAAGATTCAGAAAAAGAAGAGGAAGCTGATAATGAAGTGAAAAAAATAAAATAGATGTAAAATAAATAATTACGTAGACAAAATAGCCAAAGATAATAATCGGAAATGAAAGTTTTGGGACGAGTTTAAGACAGGATCTAGTTGATAAACTGCCACCCGGACGCTTTTCTATTAGGCTGAGTCGGGAAAAAGCTGGCAAACGTTATGAGTTGATTCAGTGTTGACTTTGACGTTTCCCAGGATAGCGCCTTAAGAAGTGACGTGCACGTAGCTATAATTAAACTAAAACATGGCCTTTATGGACAGTCTACCGAAGCTGTGACTTTATTTCCTGTCGGCATCGTTCATTCTGATAGCTAGTGATTCGTGCCTAAAGGTATACTTATCCTTGTTCACCATGATTGACGCCGCGAGTAATGAGTGAATAATGTAATATATGGTGATCCACTCTTTCCTGTAATCTGATGGAGTAACTTTTTAAAAACCAGGCTGTTGAAAGTTCATCGCTCGTCTCCTCTGTACAAGGTATATATATATATTTCATATATATATATATATACCCGGCTTGCGAGCAAGCATAGTGCCCAAAGCCATAACAATAATAACTATAACAGGGGATGGGGGTTGGGGTACAGGACAAAGTGAAATGAATGTTAAAAGGTTACAGTGGTTAACAGTAGATGAAAAGAATAACATTTTGTTTGTTTTGGCGTACAATTCTGATTATTTTTGTGTTCGTTTATCGTTTTTATGGATCCCGGGATTTTAACAGACAAGCCACAGCGTACGCGTCATAGACATCAGTTTTAGGCCATATCTCTTTGCGTTTCTAACCGAGGACAGTCCTCATTAATTGGGTCCCGACCTGGAAGGCGGGCCTCATCATCTGAAGCCAAAGACGAAACTTGCTTCACCTTGTCATGATTTGACCACCGCGACGTTTCTTCCAGCCTTACCCAGCATGTGGAAAGAGAGCACGTGAAGGTAAACGACAAGTAGGCATACGGACCAAGCTCACTTATACTTTTGATCGACTAACTCCTGCGGTAGAATAGGTCGGTTTCTTGGATGTCTCGAATGATGTTGGCCCATGCATGACGATCGGTAGAGAGGTTGATGTATTGTGAAACCCAGCTCTGGTTCCAGTTACGAATTCCATATACGGATCAGAGGCTCAGTAATTCCAGTCTGCCTTGATCGTACTGCTAAAGATCTTTTTTGATCGTTTTTGACGTATTGATCTCTAGTCCAATGGCATGGGCGAACTGATTTATACGACTGACAACAAGCTGGAGGTTGTCCATGTCTCCAAGTACAGTGACATCCGCAAACTCGAGGTCTGCAGTGTATCTGGGCTAAGCTGCACTCCGGGTAGTCGACGAGTGCTTGTTGCATTATCCAATCTACGATGTAATTGAATAACACCGGTAATAGGGCACAACCTTGCCTGACTTCAGAGCTAAGGGTAAACTCAGCTGATTCTTCTCCATAGGTACGGACGCGTGCCTGGGTTTCTGAGTAGTATAACTTTAAAAGGCAGGCATCTAGTCGGACCTCAATATACACCACACGGACCAAGACATCAAAGGCGATGTAGAGTGATTATTTCTTTTAGAGATTGACTATCCACACTTAACACGATGTCGAACCCCGTCATGGCCCACCCAGTGTTCACACCAGACATGAGCAATTATTCGGGGGGATCCGCGACCGAATATAGAAAGTTGATCAACATCCTCAATTTGGAGGGGCCAGGTCTCTCAACCGTACAATGTCTACTGGGATGTTGCATATACATATGTAATAAAAGGTGATAGCTATATAAAACCAAGTATCAAAACAGTGGAAGAAAGAAAATAACTCCTAAGTTCAAAAGAGACTCGTGAATAGGTATTCCTGTAGGTTCGTTCATGGATGAGGTGATGAAAATACACCAAGGAAAGAAAAGTATTTACAAAAATAGACCAAGGTCAACCACTACCGATGCACTCAATGTGCAACAAAAATGAATCATCTGCAGCATTAATTACGTTCAATTTCAAAACCATTCGCATGTAGAACTTTGATTTCCCTCTCGAAAATTTTAACAAGATTCGTCTACGAGAAGCCCGGAAGATGAAAGTTGACAGAATATTATAACAGGTTGGCAAGTCGAACTGTTTCAAAAAGCATATCTACTCTAATCAGTTCCTGAGTAATGATTTGGTTGATTTAAATCGTAGGTAGCTGAATGTAGTTGATCAACGTACCAGATTATGTTGCCCGGATAATTCCTTGTGTGCCAAACAGTTCAGCTCAGTTTGTACAACCATTAACCATGCGCTATCGTGCGGCGGTTTTGTTTGCTGTCTTTTGGCTGCTCATTTGGATGAAACAGGATGAAAGACAGGAAAGTTGAAGGCAGAATCGAACACAGGATGGAGAATTTTAGTGGACTAAGCTTAAAAAGAAATTGAGATGCACGAACACCACTGTTGACGACGCTCAGCCGTATCACTTAGTGTCCCTAACCATCGGTTACGATGATGCTCATCCTGGGAGCCTGAAGGGACCTATGTGACCCATGTCCCTGGTTAGGGATTTCATACCCTCTTGCCAGATCTTAGATTGACCACCCTTGGCTTTTTCCACCCACTACCTGCCTCGGCAAACATCGCTCGCCGTGGAAACCTATTTGGTGATATGCGTAACACATCCACCAACCAACGTAATCTATGAAGATCGACTACTTGCTCCAGTGAGCGACCGCGGTTACCCATGCGCCAAACAAACCACGGTCCGAGAATTGAATGTTTTTTTCATTTCAAACGGATTATTAATTTGTGCGAAGTAAATATTTGAAAGATTTTTATAGTTGTTTTCTTCTTTGCTTTATCAAGCTGAAAATCGTCACATGAAAATTCTCCGCGGTGTTTGGTTCCGAGATAACGCTGGAACACTGGAGCCACTGGATGATAACGTGATTATTGACCGACTGGAATCTCAGTATCTTGAACTGACTTCATCTGGTGCAGGATCCCTAGATGATTCGAATTTTCAAAAGGCTGGTGAACCAGAAGGACGAAAATACACCCCTAAGCCTCGAAATCTGCATTATACTGCAAGTGCACCTGTACTTTATACCGTAAACGATCTGGCCACCGAAGAAGTGTCTTGTGTTTACAACAGCCTTGATGCACAAGCGTACGTCCTTACAGAAAACGTCACACCAGATCATAAAAGAAGGATTCGTGAGTTACCTTACTTTTTCCCGTACCACATCATTTATTTGGGCTCTCTCATGCCATCATTACGAAAGTAAACTCGAAACTATTTTATGTATGTATTACTGTATTCATAGATGTAGATCTGATTTATTGGTTAATACTATGTGATCGCTTATAAGGAGTGGCCATGACGCTTAACTTAATTGTCATTAGAGAAACGTGCCATTCAAGTGCATCTCAGTTATAAGGTTGTCTGAATTGGTTCCANTTTACTGAAAATTTAGAATTAGGTGTACTTCGAATAGTTGCCAACTTCACATTGTTGATCATTAGACAACTTGTGGCTCTGATCTACAATTCAGAGACAAACTAGGTTATCCGCATTCTTTCGGATCTCTTTTCGGTTTAGTAAAAAATACTTTGTTATTTTGAACCAGCGGGAAATCAATAACATCGTTTAAAACCCAATTTATATATTGATCGATCCTAAATAAAATGCTCTCCTTTTGTAGCATTGACCTTGATTGCCATTCTGATATTTGTGTAATTATTTGCTATTGAATGTTTGCTCAGCACCATAATTGACTTAACACGATGAGACCAAGCAGTTTGCTAAATATTCATAGAGTTTGCAACCTTTGCTTGACTGTTTGTGGTTACTTTTAACATCGCTGCATTTTCCGGGCTTGTAAGGCGAATAGACGAAAAACTCACAGATTCCCACTAATATTCCACTTTTAAGAACACATTGCTGCACTTATTTTCAATGGAGGTGTATCGTAGATATACTTTTTGTTTATTCGTTTCCGTATTAGATATGCTAACTCAATAGATAAAAAAACAATAGTGCGGAATTTCAACTTTTTACGGTCGATTTCTTTTGTTTGTTTTTATTACGCGTTACCTGATTCATTCATTTTTTTTATTTGTTACAACAATTAACCCTGCACTTTCGTGCACCGGTTTTGGTTGCTGTCTTTTGGTTGCCCATTTGGATAAAAGAGC